ATTATGATGAATGTTATGACAATTATAGGATCTAAATATTGTTTGATAATCATTTGGATATGCTTGCCAACTGAATACCTATGTGAACTTGGCATTACTACCTAGCATGAGATGAAGATGGAAGTCAGGAGATGAGTTGGGTGTTCTATTAGATTTTTAGTAGAATTAGTAATTAAGGGAATTCCTTGTGTTGTGCTCCATATAGTTGGATGGTGGTTGATATGTGGAATCAATAGCAGGTATACGTATAATTATGTTGAATGTGTGATGATGAGATTGCACCATATAGTTGTGGTACATGGATGGTCCTGCTTGGTATATCCGTGATGGGGACCATATGTATTCAGGAGTGATCATGCTTGGTATATCCGTTATAGGTGATCATTGCCTGCACGACGAGTTTATGCCTATGGTCTTGCTTGGTATATCCACGATAGGGGACCATACGCATTCTAGAGGTGATGATGATTGGTTGTACATGGTACATTTTTAGGCGATCATACTCAGTTTGGTTCCGTTAAGTGGTCCGGAACCCGAGGTTGTTGAATTTAGTGGAGTGGCCTAAAATCCCATTGTTTGGAGAAGTAGGCTTGGCCTAACTATGTAACTCTAGCCTTAGTTATATATATATATATATATATTTGTGTCAATGGTTTTGAGAGTATTGTGAATTGAGTTAGAAAAGATGTTGGACGTCTGAGTGACTCATTCGGGATTTTTCATGATTCGATTATAATTTCATAAGGTATGAATTTAGAAGATATGGGAATGATTGTTATTACTTTGATCAATTAATTAATTAATGTGGCTAGAGAATGGTTTTGTGTTTCGTCGGTTCTTAAATATGATATATGTTGTGAATTGTGATATCATGATGAGACATAATGATTTATATGTTGGATGTGAGCGAAATCATGTTTTCATGGGGGTTGGTTATGTAGCTTGAATCCAGGAATTACATGTTGTCAGGTTATAATAAATGATTGAGGAATGTTATGCTTATCTGGTTGAACTTAGTAGAATAAATGTCTGGTTTTGTGCAAATGAACTATGAATGGCTTAATCCCTATTGAAGGGTATATAGACAGTCTAACGAGAAGGTTAGATGCAGCCATAAGGTAAACGAAAGATTTCTTTGCAATTTGATTCTCGAATTATGATTGCCATATTCCTAAGACAGGGTATGTGAGTTATACGAGTATTTGGGTAACGTCAAGTATCGAGTCTGGACGTATGTCGGGATCAGAGCGTGACAATATTATTATTCATAGTTTATGCGTCTTTCTTACAATGTTTTCTTCTTCAAGGATGATGTGGGAAATCGATTAGCAAGAGGAAGAATTGTTTAACCAATCAGAATGAATGTACAATCTCCAGGTGGCCCAAAATGAGATGGAAGATGATGAGGAGCGTAGAAGGAAAGATGACGAAGCAAGAATGGCCAGAACCTCACATTCTCGTCGAGTCATCCAAGCTATGGCTCAAATCTGCAGGCCCAACCGTTTCGCAAACCTTGATAAAAGTAGGCAATGACGAGGTACGGAACTCTTGGACGATTATTTTGTCCGTAACAGTGTATTCCCTGATACGTACTTTAGACATCGTTATAGAATGGAACGACATTTGTTCAACAAAATCATGATTTTTGTTTGCAACCATGATTCTTACTTTGTGCAAAAGAATTATGTTTTTGGTGTTATAGGTCTCATTCTTGAGCAAAAAATTATTGCTGCCTTGTGGATGCTTGCATATGGAGCATCTGCAGACCAAGTGGATAAGATAACGAGGATGGGGAAATCAACTATTCTTAAGTCCCTGATGAGGTTTTGCAGAGCAATCGAATCTATCTACATCGCAAAGTACCTCCGGAGACCTTCTGAGATGGACTTGCAAAGGCTTTTGAAGAAGGGCGAGATGCAAGGTTTTCTTAGGATGATTGGAAGTACCGACTGTATGCACTAATCCTGGAAAAATTGTCCAAGTGCATGGAAAGGCGCTTATGGGGACAGAAAATAAGCAAAAAGTATCATTTTGGAGGCAATGGTATCTTTTGATATATGGATTTGACACGCCTTTTTCGGTGTTCCGGAAGCTCAAAATGACCTCAATGTCCTTGCCCCAATCCCCAGTGTTCAACGATGTCCTACAAGGAAAGGCACCAAAAGTCAAGTACTGGGTCAACGGACATAAGTATGATGGGCTATACTACCTAGCAGACAACATTTACCCAAGGTGGTCATCGTTTGTCAAAATAGTGCCACGTTCGTAAAGTGCAAAGGAAAAACACTTTGCAAGCTATCAAGAGGGGTGCAAGAAGGATGTGGAGCGTTATTTTGGTATCCTCCAAGCTCGCTGGGCGATTGTTAGGGGTGCTGCCAGAATGTTTAATTTAGAGTCGCTCCAATCCATCATGATGACGTGCATCATTCTGCACAACATGATTGTGGAAGATGAGTACGATTATGATGCCGTTGATGAATATGAGCTAGACACGATGAACAAGTCCAAAATACAAATATATTGTGCTCATGACGCCACCGAAAAACCCGTGCAACATAAGCCATTAGAAATGGATGAATGTTACAATGAAAGGCTCATTCAACAATATACTACACTTCAAATGCCATATATGCACAATGCCCGACAAATTGACTTGATAGAGCGCTAATGGGAATTGAAACATGCTCAAGATACTTAAGTTCATTTAGTGTGTTTGTTTTTATTTGGTGTGTTTATTTAATTTTATTTGCTGTGTTTTTTTAGTTCATTTAGTGAGTTTTTTATTATTTGGTATGTTTATGTAATTTATTTGGTGTGTTTATGTCATTTGAATAAAGATTCTCTTAGTATAAATAAATTACCAAATTAAATAAATTTACTCTCACTTTAAATAAAGTGCTAAATTCAATAAATTGAAAACAACATAAAGTACTTTATTCAATAAATAATAAATTACAATCCAAAGTGATTGGAAAATTATGGGCTCCGATTACTAAAAGTACTACTATATTCATCATCACTTAACCAATTTGTGGTGCTAGGATGATCTTCTCTTGTCATGCTAGGACCATCTCTTCTTGCTCTCGCTTCTCTTGCAAGCCTTCTTCGCGCCACGTCCGCTTTCTCCGACTTCCAAAAATATTTAGAATTTGGAGACTTCCCTTCTAAAGGCGTGTTTATAATGTCACGATCTCGTTGAGCCATTCTTTCTTCTCTAACATGTTCCCTTTCTTGCCTAAGTAGCTCTCTTTCTCTTTTATTAGCTTGAAATGCTCTCTCAACAGTTATAGCTTTTGCCTCCTCTCTAGCCTTATCAGCCTCAAATTTCGCCATTTCCATCGCCAAAGTCAATTCACCTTAGCGAGCAAGTTCTTCCATATACTTTGCATAATCATTCTTGGAAGCACTCTTTTTTCTCTTTGAAGTCTTCTTACCTTGAGGCCTAATTGGATAACTGGTCGACCCTGATGATTGTTCAGGGGGGTGTTTCGGGCACTTCTTCTGCATCATCTTCATGAATATGCAAGGCATGATCGGGTGTAGAGTGTAGAGGGGTGATGTTTATGAAAACTTCAAGATCGACAGGCACAACTCTGAATTTAGGACAATCTTTGACAATATTCCAACATTCCCACCAGTTGAATGATTTGTTTTAGCTTTTGGTTTTGGCATTATACCAAGCTTGTGCTTGAAGTTTCTACGCAATGCGGGAGAAGAAATCATTATAATGAAAGTAGGTAACAAATAAATAATACAAACAAATAATTATAATCAAAGCAACTAACAAGTAAATAATACAAACAAATAATTATAATCAAAGTAGCTAACAAATAAATAATACAAACAAATAATTATAATGTAAATTTGGGTATAGTACCAACAAATAAATAATATATTGTTACCTGATCCGCTAAATTTTCCCCACTTCGAAGATTACTACTAGCTTGTGCCAAGGCGTCTCTCCACGTACTAAACAATTGGCTAAGTAATTTCCAACAACTGGACATCGATTCTTTGGTTCTTTTCCCGCCAATTTTCTCAAGAAAATTGGTATGAATAAGACTCCATATTTCTCGCAACTGAATCTCATTACCCGTAATCAGATCATGAATAACTTCAACCCAGCTAGTACACAACGCAACATCTTCAAAAAGCGTCCAATTCATACATGCATCAGTAGTCATTTTGTTGGTAAAAAATTGGATTGAAACTTTGAGAGAAAGATCGGAATGTGGTTGAAAGTAGTTGAAAAAATATGAAATTATGGTTTAAGGTAGAAGATAATGAGAAGGTATTTATAGAAAAATAAAACCATTTTTTTTTTGGATTTTTATTAATTTTTTACATTTTTTTTAAATTTTTTATTCACCTAATTAATCTCTGTGGTTGGATTAAAAAAAAAATTGAATTCCAACACTCCAGATTGTGCCACGTGGCACAACGGTAATATTTCAAAATTATAAACTGTTTTTTTTTTAATTTATAAAGGCAAATAACGTGGACCGTTGATCTTAGATCCAATGGTCCACAAATTGTTGCCGTTGAAATCCAACGGACAAGGGGAAGCCATGTGGCCTCCCAACAGTAACATTTTCAAAGTGCGTCGCAGGCCCTAGCTTCTGAAATCCTGTCGGACGACGCACGCCAACCTATGCTTGAAGCCCACACGCCTAACAGAAAAAATATAAAAAAAGTTGCATCACGTTGCCTTTGGGCTCTTGGGCTGGCAACTCGTGCCAGGCCTCTCCCTCGGGCCCACTCAGGCTCCATTGCCAGCACACACTGGAACAAGTCGCTCGAGCTATCTAGCCCTATTCCAACGCCAGTCCACCAAGCAATAGCTCACAATGGAATTGCTCTAAGTAAAACATTGGCTTAATTCCCATGGTTTTTCCCACATTTTATGGGCTTCCACTTTCCTCCTACATTCATGAACTTAGTTGAACTGTCACTCCCTTCATATAAAAGCAACACCCACTCACCATTTTCTTCATCAAATCAAAATTCAAACACATCAAACAAACATCAGTTTTCATTACTTGCAATTTTCCATCAAGAGTTTTGTTTTAAAAATATATACAGAAGAAAATATGACTATTTCATCAGCAGCAGCAAGGAGAGGTTGGGTAGTGGCAGCAAGTGTTGGAGTTGTGGAGGCCTTGAAAGACCAGGGGATCTGCAGGTGGAATTATACTATGAGATTACTGCAGCAGCATGTCAAGAACCAACTTGGGTCGTTTTCTCAGGCCAACAAGTTCTCTTCCTCATCTTATGCTTTGGTCTCAACTAAAGTTAGACAAGATGAGAAGATAAAGCAGTCTGAGGAGTCTCTCAGGAAAGTCATGTACCTCAGCTGCTGGGGTCCCAATTGATCATTCATCCAGCCACTCTCTCAATTTTGATACGCAAGAAATCGTTGGCCATGGTTGAACAAATTGTAGACTGTAGCCTGAATGGAATTTGTAATTTTTCACAACAAATTGATTGTTAATTTTAGATCTCTGAATTTTCTGTATGTATATACAATTAATGTATGAGAACTAATTCATCATGTGATCAACATTAACATTAGCCTCTTTTTCTCTCTTTGCTTTGGTCCATGGACTATTTGTATGCCCTTCCCTTCCAATTTCACTGGTGAACAAAAAAATTTTAATCGACTTTGCAGTCAACAAGTCCCCCTCTACCAAATTCCTTACATTCAACTAGTTTCTTCTTATGAATGAGGATATAATTACTGTGTTGATTTATTACCATCAAAATTACTCATTTGCCAAATATGGAAGTTATCTATTTTTTCTGTGGTTCATGCACTTAAAGATTCAAGTAGCTAGAATTTGTATATATATATAAAAAAAAAAAAACCTAGTGTGTATCGATATGTTAGTATTAATATGTGTTACTTTTATTGACATGTTATTGACACTTTATCTATACTAGCCGATGAGCACACACTTTGTGTGTGTGAATAATTTCATTTTGTTTTTTGTTTTTTGTTTTTTTTTATTAAGGAGTGTGATTAGTTTTTTAAATTTTAAAAAGAGTGAAAAAATGATAGTGGAACAAGTTCTCTTAATAAGTGCATATTTTATCTTAATATTACATACTTACTGTTTTGTCCTCCTTATGTAAATATTATGTATCAAAAGAAAGGGTAAAATAGGAAAAATAGGGATATGATTGTCATTTTCTCAAAAGATATAAAATTACTATTTTGCTCTCATAATGTATATATTGCATATCAAAAATGAGGACAAAATAGAAAACAAATGTAAAAATTTGACAAAGAGGGTTCTCTTAATAATAGTATACATATGCATCCACATTTTCACTGTAACAAACAAAAGCAAGTGGTGTTTCCTCCCATACTTGCGGCTTAGGTGGATTTTATAAGGAAAACCGTGTGCTCATTTGTATAGTTAGTGGCAATGAGTGTGACAGAAAGAGAAGAAAAGAAATATATACCATTGGCTTTACGCTCTCTAAACCGCCTCCAGTTATTGGTGGAAAGGCCCACCCTGTCTAATACCCCTATAAAAAGCACTTCATGCTCATCTCCTTCGTCAAACACTTAAACATTCACAATCACTACCAAAAGAATTCAGAATACCCAAAGGAGCGAAAAGAAATCATGAGTTCATCAAGTGCAAGCAGGGCTATAGTGGCAGCAAGTGTTGGAGTTGTGGAGGCACTCAAGGATCAAGGGATTTGCAGATGGAACTCTGCTTTGAGATATGCAGGCCAACAAGCCAAGAGCCAAGTGAGGTCATTTTCTCAGGCCAACAGCAAGCTCTCTTCTCCTTCTGCTTCAGTTCTGAGTAAAGTGAGAGAAGAGAAGATGAAGAAATCAGAGGAGTCTTTGAGGACAGTCATGTACCTCAGCTGCTGGGGTCCCAACAACTAACTCAATTATTCATTCACAGAACAAGAGCAAATTAAGATTGCATGTTTTTGTGTAAGCGCTTGCTGATGGAAGAAGGGGTCCTTGAGTTATTAGCAAAGGCTATCGTTTGGGATCGTAAGTGGCAGGCAATTGATGTCTGCAAGGTCCTGGCAAATTGATGTAAATTTTGTTATGTTATGACAATTGCCATGTAAATTAAACATATAAATCTGAGAATTGCTGATCATTATTGAGTTGAATTTTTTTATTTTCACAACGGTACATTTGAAGAAGGGCTCTTATGGAATTTGAAGTTTAAATATTGCCCCACAAAAAATGATGCTATGATGGATTGACAAAAGCGCCTATTATACTCTCACTTACCTTGAAATGTCGCTGACCGTAATTAGGTGATTTTCAAATTTGAGACAAAATTGTATGCATCTCGTTTTCTCCGGTGTGGCTGCCTCCGTGGTCGCTGGCAAGACGTTCAACCATACCAGAAGAGTGATTAACTGATTCAAAGAATTAGCAACCTCCAACCATACCAAAAGAAAAGGGAGCAAAAACTTTCCATTAGATCAAAAGAACAGAATTAGAAACAGTCTGAACTAGGACAGAAGATTAGCCACGGTTCAAGATCCCTTTCAAACCGCCCAAACCGACTGATCCAATCTGGTTCGATCCGATTTTAACGGTTTTGGATCCCTAAATTTCAAACCAACACGATTGAATCAGATTGGATGACTTCACTAGTGAGAATCCAGTCCAATCCACTTTAGTCTGTTTCATGGTGTTATCCCTTTATGGCATTTAGTATGAGACTCAAACCTAAATATTTTCTAATAACCATTCTTCTAATTTAGGAAAATTGTTGGAAGGAAGAATCTCACATCGAAAAAGAATAGACCCTGCATGTGCCTATGAAAAATTGAGTTAGCCCTCATATTACCAATTAGTTTTATAATAAAAATCCCAACTTCTTTTAAAAATGACATCTCTAATTCTTATTAAAAATAAAAAAAAATAAAAAATAACTGAGTCCCTGTTTTAGCTCCATAAATTAAAACAACTGGTATCTCCTCCCATACTTGAGGCTTAAATGGATTTTTTCAAAGGAAAACCGTGTGCTTTTGCTTGGTCCTACCCAACAAGTTTGTCTCCTCTGTCAATGAGTGAGTGTGACCAGCTAAGTATACCATTGGCTTTATTCCCATGGTTTTTCCCACATTATATGGGCTTCCACTTTCCTCCTACATTCATGAACTTAGTTGAAGTGTCACTCCATATAAAAGCAACACCCACTCACCATTTTCTTCATCAAAACAAAATTCAAACACATCAAACAAACATCAGTTTTCTTTACTTGCAACTTTCCATCAAGGGTTCTTTGTTAAAAATATATACAGAGAGAAAATATGACTATTTCATCAGCAGCAGCAAGGAGAGGTTGGGTAGTGGCAGCAAGTGTTGGAGTTGTAGTGGAGGCCTTGAAAGACTAGGGGATCTGCAGGTGGAATTATACTATGAGATTACTGCAGCACCATGCCAAGAACCAACTTGGGTCGTTTTCTCAGGCCAACAAGTTCTCTTCCTCATCTTCTGCTTTGATCTCAATTCAAGTTAGACAAGATGAGAAGATAAAGCAGTCTGAGGAGTCTCTCAGGAAAGTCATGTACCTCAGCTGCTGGGGTCCCAATTGATCATTCATTCAGCCACTCTTTCAATTTTGATAAGCAAGAAATCGCTGCCCATGGTTGAACAACTTGTAGACTGTAGCCTGAAGGGAATTTGTAATTTTTCGCAATAAATTGATTGTTAATTTTAGATCTCTGAATTTTCTTTAATGTATATAAAATTAATATGATAACGAATTTATCATGTGATCAACATTAACATTAGCCTTTTTTCTCTCTCTCTCTTTGCTTTGGATTATTTGTATGCCTTTCCCTTCCAATTTCATGGGTGAACAAAAGAATTTTAATCGACTTTGCAGTCAAACAAGTCCCCCTCTACCAAATTCCTTAGATTCAACTAGTTTCTTCTCATGATCAACGAGGATATAATTTCTGTGTTGATTTATTACCATCTAAATTACTCATCTTGTCAAATATGGAAGTTGTCCATTTTTTCTCTTGTGCATGCACTTGAAGATTCAAGTGTCGGAAAATATTAGTATTTTATGATTATTTGAGTTGCTTGTTAGTTAGTTTATGGGTCTAGCCCATCCAAATTAGGGTTTTTAAGTTTTTCTCTCTATAAATATATCTTATAGTTTAGTATGAATAATAAGTTAGTCACGATGTAGCCTTTTGGGATTTTGTAACCGTTTCGGAATTCTTGTTTGTTTAATAATATTCTTATTATTTTGTAGTCTTGGTTATCACGCACATTGATATTCAACTTAGTATAGAGCAGGTTTGATTCTTCGGGATTGAATCTGTTCTTGGTAGCTAGTTTGTATTTTTTAGTTTGCTCGGTATTAGTTTTGATAAGGTATTGTTTTAGAAAAAGGTTTGCGTCTGTTTGCCCCAGCCTGCTAGTACCATCGGTGCTGCTCAACCCGCAGCAGCATGTCCACTACCAGATCGACCCACCTCTGACCTACACCCTCGCACCACCTCGCCGCCCCGCAATCACGACTCCACTACTTGAATCGATTCCGTCGCTATCCAAGCACTTTGCCGTAGTCTCGCACCCGCATCGACTAGTCTCGTACCCTCAATCGACTCCAATGAGTCGGATCTGTCGAACCACTGCAACCCTGCCGCTGCTAGTTTGAAAACCTTATTCTTGCTGTTTTTTGTTGGTCCGACGATTGCACTGGAGTTTCAATGCAGTTTGATGATTGCTGTACTAGTTTGCAGTTGCACAGAAGAGCATGGAAGAAGGATACAGGAAGAAGGAAAAAGAAAGAAGACGTGCTATGAAGAAAAAAAGAAAAAGGAATTATTGGATCGTCTCCTAAGATCAAGATCCTCCTAACCCACTAACACAACCATTAAATTTTGATCCAACCACTATAATTATTATAACTTCAAAGGAATCCTTTGTTTATAGTTGTTGGATCAAAATCTAACGATCCGTGTTAATAACTCAAGACGATTCAGATCTCATGCTCATGATCCAATTCCCAAAGAATAAGAGAGAGAAAAAAGTAGAAAATAAAAAAGAAAATAAACGTTGGCTTTTTGTTTGAAGGCCCTCACAAGTTGGCTTTGTTTTGAAGTTTGGGTATCTGCCGTTGCCGTTCGCAATGAATTCTCAAATGTTTGGAGTGCTGACCACTCAAGTGATAGTTACTAGAATTTTTCGGCGTTGTTCGTTTGTAGGTACAATTGAGATATGGAAATCTCGTCCGTATAGTGACGGGTTCTTTCCATACTCTCAACACTATCAAGTCAGAATCAATTCATAACTTCGCAAGTTCGCCAATCAAGTCAAGTCAAGTCAAGTTAAGTTTGCATACCTGCCAGTCCGCCTAACGAAGCCAATCCACATCTGCTTGTTTGCAAACCCATGTCGTATGTTGGAAAATATTAGTATTTTATAATTATTTGAGTTTGCTTGTTAGTTAGTATATCTGAATTAGGGTTTCTAGGTTTTGCTCTCTATAAATATAGCTTATAGTTTAGCATGAATAACAAGTTAGTCATGATATAGTCCTTTGGGATTTTGTAATTGTTTTGGCAT